GGCGTCCGGCCGAGCCGCACCGGCTCTGCGGGTCCACCCGGCTCGGCGTGAGGGCCCCGGCTACCGGCATCCCTGGCTGGCGCGCGGCGCTCGGACTTTCCCGAGGGGGTGCACCTGCTTCTGGGGTCCGACTCTTCTCAGGGGGGCTGGGACCGCTCCCGCCGGGAAGGGCCCCGGGCTAACTGCTCTGGCCCGGCCAGCCACGCCCGGCACCCCGCACGTGTGCTCGGGCCTTGAGCCCGCGCGGCGGACAGTGCAGCCCGCAGAATCGGGTATGTGGGGGTGGTGGGGGGTGTAATTTTGCGCGTCCTGGGGTCACTGGCTTGACTGTCTCTTAGTCTGTCCCGAGCGCAAGTCCTGGCTGAGCACAATTCTCCCCTCCTGAGCTCAGGAACCCTGCCCCGTGTTAACTCTAGAGGAACCTCAGTGTAGACGCCGGCACCACAGTGTAGAGACTGAAGTAAGACGGCCTTGGAAACCCCGCCTCAGGGCTGAGATGGTGGAAACCCAAATGGTTGAAGCCCAAATGCCCTTTGTGCACCCGCACCCAGGGTGTTCCCACACATGCCCTCCCCGCCCTGGAGTGAAGAGGACCAGGCGCGGCCCCCCCGCCCGGCCGCAGCGGCAAGCACACCACCACACAGGGGCTCAACCCCTTACCTCACAATGCACCCATTTAGACAGGGTCAGGCTGTCACGGGCATGTCATTTTGCACTACAGGAGGTAAGCCTGCACCTGCCTTTTTCTTCAGTGCAGGAATCCGAGCTTTATGCAATTTTGTAAGGCACAGAGCAAGCTCAAAATCTGCCTTCCAGATCACTGTCTCTCCGCAAAGGGAGTTGGTCACCATCGTGGAGTTGGGCCAGCAAGCTGCCACCAGCCTACCCCCTGCTTTCATACAGTCCAAGAGCTAACTAAGTATGTTTGCTTTGGATTTATTGATGCATACAGAACTGGGGTACAGCCCAGAGGTGCAGGGGCAGTGAGAGGATTCACCAGGGACAAAGTGGGAAGCAAACAAGTAGACTGCTGAGGGGGTCAGGAGAGGTCTGCTGCGCCATGTGGTCACCTCTAGGGCAGGGATCTAACTCATGCTGAAGTGGCTTTTTCTTAGTGCTGTGCTTTAACCCACTGCGCCACCAGGGAGGGCCTGGTTTTGATTTTTTTTTTTTTTTTAGTGATTAGAGTGAAAAAGACTATTTATGATGTGGAATTATAGGAAATTCACATTTCAGTAACATGAATAAAGACATATTTGTGTCTTAATTATTGTTTATGACTGTTTTCTTGCTCCCAGGTTTGCATTCTGTGGTTTTAGCCCAGACCATGTGGCTTACAAAACCTAGAATATTTACTGTGGCCCCTTAGGAACAACACATGGCAACCTGCCTTAGAGCAAGCTGGGGGAATCTACAGACCGAACCATTCACTGAGCAGACATCACCTCATCTTTAGTGTAAAAGTAAAGCTGAAAAATGCAGGAAAGGAATCCAAGTAAGACAGACAAGCTTTCAACTATGCTGGGTTTACGTGTGGCAAACTTGGATTTACCTTTTTTAGTTATCAACACCATGAACAGTCCAAAGAAAAATTCTTTTCCAGACCAACACATTTAATGAGAAGCAGAGAAACAAAGGAGTGGGCTAGTGTATAGATTCTTATACAACACCCTGAAAACAACTCAACTGGAAGCTGCTCACCTCTCCCATACAGTCTCAGACTAGTCCAGGACTGTGTAGGGGTCCACAGTTACTCAGAACATAGGCTCTTCTCCTACTTATTTAGGGAGCTATAGATTTTTAGCTTAAAAAAATATAATTACCAATATTGTTGGTACCATCTATGTACCACTCTAGAATCTTATCTCCCTCTCTATCAGTGGTAACCATTCTCTAGAAATGTATTAATTAAAAAATGTTTTCCTTTTCTCCCCAGCTTGTATGTGTGTGTGTATGTATACACATACATACACAGATTCTTAAATGCAAATTTGCATGTTTTTGAGCTTCATAGAAATGCAATGACATTGTGCACTTTTTTCCTGTGACCTGCTTTTCTTTTTCCCACTCAGCATTAATAACATTAAACTACCTGAAAGTAGCAGTCAATTTATGCATCCAGTATTGGACATTTAGGTTATTTACAAATTTTAATGACCATACAAAGATGCAATGAATATTCCGATACCTGTCTCTGGAACAACACATGGTGCAGTAGTGTTCTTCACACATGTCCAATTATTTCGCTGAACTGAATTTCTTTCCCAAAGGAGAAAGGACATCATGGTTTTACATGGTCCTTCTTGTGTAACTTTCACTCACATTTCAGATTTTCTTCTTCAATATCTAGACCAGCTTCCCACAAAATGCTCCGTAGTCTCATATAACCAGGGGAGATGCAGTTGTACATGAAATAACCACTTCAAATAGCCACTGACTTTCACTGATTTGGATTTGGAAGAAGGCCTTGGTTACAGCCAAGAACTCAGCTGGCTAGCCTCGGTGGTTGGGCTGGGCAGTAGAGTTGGGTGAGGGCTCAGAGCTTTAAAGCCTAGTTAGGTTGGAATATTTACAAAGATTGGCATAGTCCTCTGGTGTAAATATTTGCCTTCTTCATTTACTTCCTTTGACTTGATTTATGTGTTTATACTTCTGTATTTTGAGACTGTAAGGTCCAAATTTTATGGTACCTTACAAAATACAAGAGCAGACAGGCAGTGTTCAATAACAGGTTGATGAAAACCTTTGCTCTCCTCTCTAGAAATGCTTAACTTCCTGGACAAGATCAGAAAACAAAATTTCAAAATAGAATTCCTGAGATGTTGTAATTGTGCTTTTTATCTGAAATTGTGAAACAACTTAAAGGAACTGATTTCTGGTTTTTAATACCCTGCTTGTCTATCTCCTTTAACCGCTTTTCATTTATTAGTCATTTCTTAGTTCATAGCCTATTGAATAGAATGTTTGAGAACTAACTAAAGGTCATTGGTTTAAGGACCTATTTACTCTTTACAGTGTTTCTTGTAACTAGTGGGTTTGATTCCTAATTCTGGATTCATCTGGATGAAAACATTCATTTTTTTAATATAGGTAAAAAAAGATTATTCTTTTAAAAGTTGACTGAATGTTTAGCTCCTTGGAAGAATTTTTGGTAACTTCCTATGATATGTAATTTTTCTTCAATAAGATAACATTTCAAACAAAATTGTAGGAAAGCGAACAGCAATGACAACTTCTGATGTTTTCTGATCTTTGCAGATTTAGATTTTTTCCTTCTTTAATGGAACATTTCAGCATTTGAGTTCCCATAAGCAGGAGAGATCAGGTGTAGAAAACAAGAGCACAAAATATAATCAGAGTACACAATATAGTCCCTTGTCTGGAGCACTGATTGTCAGGATTATTTTAGACACTGTTAGCAATCTTTGCAAGCGGCTTAACAAACTTAACCATGAGTTGACAAAACTGGTCAATGAGTGTTGAGTTAAGCAACTAGCTTAGCAACAGGGGCACAGACATTGGCTTTGCCACATTGTGGTTTATCTGCTTTGCACACCGAGCTATGGTCTTCATGCTTTACAGAGAAGCCAGTCACCTTGTGTAAAGTATCTCAGTCAGTAATGTGTAAGAAGATTTCCCAATTAAAATGGGTATTGACATAGGGATCCCACACATTATTCTTCAGAGTGATTGGAAATGCGGTGAAGGTGAATCTCTCGAACTACAGCAAGGCAAGATCATTACCAACCCTAACAGTGCATCAGCCACCCAGTTTCGACAAGAACTTGAGTTTTGTTTTGATGCTCCCAATGGACTGCAACTACCTGGGGACCTGAGCCACCCACTCCTCCCCTGGATATATACCCCACAACTGCCCAGGTGCACAGCTACCATCACAACTCCCCAGGTCCGATCTGCATTGCGATGGGCCGGGTTACAGGTCACAGGTGACAATCCATTTAATTTCTTGAACCAAAAAAAAAAAAAATTTTTTAAAAAAGATGGGGAGAGGGTAAAGAATAATAGTGTGGTAGGGCCCTCCCTGGTGGCCCAGCGGGTTAAAGTGCTGCACTAAGAAGCTTAAGCCACTTCTGCATGAGTTCGATTCCCGCCTGCCCCGGAGGTGACCACATGGCGTGGCAGACCTCTCCTGGTCCGCCCGCTGCTCCCCTCAGCAGTGGACTTTGTCGATCTGCCTGTTCTGCTCCCCACTCTGTCTCTGGTGAATCCTCTCACCCTCCGCATCTCTGGCCTGTATGAATAAATAAATAAATCTTAAAAAAAAAAAAGAATAATAGTGTGGTAGTATGGTACCGTATTGATGCTTCTACTCTGTCTCCATTCACTGAAATTTTTCTCTATAGCATCAGGAAGTCGCTGAAAAGTGAGGGCCGTGTATGTGTGTTTCTCAGCTTCTAAATTTTGAAAGAGGTTTCCATCCGTATAAATGGATGCCACCAGCAGCCCCCCATCTGTGACGCTTGCTGCTCAGCAGCAGGACCTCACTAGGGCCAGCAGCCTGGCAGGAGCAGGGGCAGATTTGGCCGGCGAGGGAGGTGGCCTCCGGGCCCTCCACCTTCAGCCTCTTTTTGTGTGTGAGCACCTACCCCCAACACATCAAAGAATCCTCGGTCATGGCATTGTAAGTACTTCTTATTTACTGCTCCAATGATTTCGCCTTCTGTTGAGAAAACTTGCCTGAAAAGTTTGAAGACATCCTTGAGTGAATTCACACGGGGAAAGGACACAGATCCACAGGGGCTCGGCAGGGTAGTGTGTCCTTCACACTGGCTTGGCTTAGAAAAATCTCTTAGAGGAAGAGGAAGATGGACATTCACGATTCTCTCATGGTGTATTGAAGCATGTTTCTTACTCTGGGGTAGGGGGGAGCATTGAAAGTTTATTATTTTAAGCTAAAACAACTGCTTTTGCTTATTTGCAGCAAATAAGCACAATAATGACAAAAATGCAGGCTTCCAGTGAGATTTTGTTTGCCATTTTTAATTAAGCAATCCGTGCAAACATTTTTTTTCTTCTTCAACATTAGGGGGAAAAAAATGACCACATTTGGGAGCCTGGTGGAAACAGAAAACGCTTTCTCATGGCAGCCAGATTTTACAGAGCAGAGGCAGTGCAGGCCCTTAATATTCCTCAGGATTGCTTGATTGCAAGTCTCGCAAATAAGAATCGACTATGTTAGGAGGCACGCCTTGCAAGAGGAGCCTGCAGAAGGAAAGACCACCTAGGGAGGACGAGAAGGAAAAGGCCAAGTCAGCACCAGCAATGTGAAAAATGGCTGAAGCCAGACTTTTGGACTAGGCGAACGGTCGAGTTAGTTAGTTACAAAGATTCATTCACTTCCTACTTGCAATTCTTCTCCTGCATTTAGTACATTGAGAATTTCAAGCACCTGCCATCTAGAGGGAAAAAGCATGTTTCTGCTAGACCCAGAGACCCATTATTCAGTCTTAATTGAAATTCCGGACTGGAAAAGATGCATTGCTCTTTGAGAGTTTGTGGGTCCTCTGTGGATGTCTTATGTGTTCTGACTGGACGGAATACCACGGATTGAATCAGCAGGGAGAACTGCTTCTAGTTAGTCACTGTCCCTTTGAATTAAGCTCAAAGAAAAGACTACTCTTTTCACGTGGCTATTTATGCAATGTCAAAAGTGTAAAAATTGGAAATTTTTTGTGAAAAATAACAAAACCCATCCAATGACTTCTGAAGATGAAGAAACGCCTATTAAAATCTTGTACTTACCTTCTATATTTCATAATTGTATTTAAAAACTACAAGGAAGTCACAAGAAACCCACAAAACCATAAAACTTCACGGTCCGTTACAGAATGTGTTTCACTGCTTGCTAAAAAAAATCCACAGTCGGACAAAAACAGCATGCCATTTCAACATTCTTACAACGTATTTAATGCAAGTTTGGGAAAATCATTCTCCTTTTTTAGAAAAAGATCCAAGTCAGATATTGCTAGAAATGATGCCACTTTTATACATGTCCATTCCTTGATGCACAGGGCTCAGCAAGCTTGGGATCACTAATTTCCATCCACTTTAAATGCTTTATTTCATGCTTTCTGCATTCAACCACAGGCTACAAAGGAGAACACTGGGATAGTAAGTACTAGCTGTTAATGTCAACATACTGAAGTAAAACGAAAACTGCAAAGTTAGAGATATTAAGTAAACTATTTTCATTGGATTCCATAATGAAAATCATGCCATACTCCACAGACTTTGTATGGCTTATGACGGTCATAAGCTTCATATGCCAAAGCCATATGAAAGCTTACCTCAGGTGATAATATACATTCAAAAATCCTTATTGTGCTACAACTAAGGAAAAGGGAGAGAAAGAGAGAGAAGTGGTAAGCATTAATAAAGTGCTAAATCCAAAGTTGAGTACTTGTCGGATGAAATTATAGTCACATTATGAGAAGGCTTCATTAATCCTTAGTCATGTGAAAGATACAGGAAAATAGAAGCACATAGAATGAAGGGCAGGGACCCAGTCACTTCAAAAGGATCATTAATATGTAAAACATTTATTAACACGCACAACCACGTCGCCTGAACAAGTGGCAACGTCCATTGGATCGTACGGTGAATACTTATGGTAAGAGCTTCCAAACCATTAGCTTAAAAAACGACCTACAACATATATATATTGTGTTTTTCAACAAAAGAAAAACATAGACAGTAGGCAAAGTGTTAGGGTACATATATATATGTTGACATTCTAAAAGGCAAAATTATCAAGTAGATAGAGCTATCAGACTAGTGTATTCTAGAATACTGTATTCCAAACTGATTATATGTGACTGGTCTAAATAAATACTAGATAGAGCTATCAGACTAGTGTATTCTAGAATACTGTATTCCAAACTGATCACATGTGACTGGTCTAAATAAATACTAGATAGAGCTATCAGACTAGTGTATTCTAGAATACTGTATTCCAAACTGATCACATGTGACTGGTCTAAATAAATACAAGCTTAAACAAATTTAGGCTAAAAAGCAGAATCGACACAACTTTCAAAAGAGAGCCCCAATTCTTCCTCTTTTTAAAACTGACATTACCTCTGAGAATTCAGAGAGCATATATTGTAAACTCAGGCATAGACCTGCCTTATTAAAGTTTGTATCAGATTCCTAACTCAGCCCTAAAGAACCACTTACTTCAGTCATTCAGATGGGGGCAAAACCCACTCTTATAACAGGACTCATGTGATGCTGATCTGTTTAGTAATAGGGTCTAGAATTTTCTTTCAAGTTCATGTCCAACTGATACAACTTTGGTACTGTAAAAATACCCACATGTCTAACAGAAAGATGGGTAACATCTTTTCTTCATTGTAAAATAGGAAATATGCAAGTCTCCAAATATTAGATGTATTTTTGTATACTCATCGTAGCTAAAATGCCCAGAACACTTTTTTCTACAACTTTGCAATTTTTAAAATGTTCCGTTTTCTGAATTTCTGACACAAGTTTCAGGAAGCTCTGTTAAGAAAGACTGTATCTTTGTACATTTAAAAGAAAATGAAAATACTGAATGAGACTGACTGCCATGGTTTTATAATTCTATTTCTAAAATGAGGCCTTCTTCAAACAATACTTTCTGACTTTACTGGAGGACCCGTGGGGTGATACTTAAGTTTTCTGACAAAGCTTAGTCCCTACACTACACTGAATGTCCTTGAATAATTTGGCCTTCCTAGTTCATGGCATAAACACTGTATGCCATGAGCTGCTAAGAAATACAATTAAAAGCAAATGAGAAAGTCAAGCTTTACATGCAAAATGCGATTTCATTTAAGAGGAATGGAACAGAAAGTAGAAATATCCAGTGGAACATGAACTGTTTAAACCTGTTGCTGCCCCTCCAGGAAGACTGGTTGTCCAGGGGTATTTACTCCTTGAAAAATCACTGCAGAATTAGAATATTTGTACCAGTATTTATTTATTCTCAGTTGACATTCTTACCTCTTTTTTTCACAGCTTAACTTTAATCGCCTATTGTCAGATAACAATCTGATGATAAATAATCTTGATTTTACTTCAGTATTAAAAGCTTTAACCAATAATTACAACTGATACTTTATGATGAACTTACACTGGAATCATTATTTATATTGTTACATTCAATTACTATATAATTCACTATAAAACCATGATAAAGGATATATCATCTACGATAGATGTGCAATTATGATCTCAATTTGCATTAATAAACAGCTAAAATAATAATGTTTAAAATTGTAAATACTATTTTTAGTAAGAGGATTTGAAATTTTTTAAACAATTAAAAATGTTTTTCTTTTACTCAACTACAAAACTGCTGTACTATATTACAAAGCTGGACAGAAATCATAAGAAAAAGAAAACTATTTTTTTAAAGTTATAAAAGGAAAAATTTCCAAGCAATTTCCTTATGATATTTATCATAAATTTGGGACTTAAAAACTTTCAAAATGTAATTTAGTACTGTAAGCACTTCTTATGTTCTTTCTAAAATAAGACATTTACAAAGTTATCTTATATATTTTAATTTCTTATATCATCATAGAGAGAGAGGGGGGAAGAAAGCCTTCAATTATACAGCAACAATACTACACAATAAGAATTAGAGAAAAGGTATTAGGGTTATATCACCTATTGTAATGCTGACTCTGACATATATGGGAGTTTTCATGGTATGTCAAAGAAGGTTTTCTCAAGAAAAAACTTCAGTATAAAAGTATACTCAAATAATGTGAACACTGGCTAAGACTAGGTCAGGTAATGCTGACAAATCCTTATGTATTTTCTTGATTTACATTAGTTACTTTCTGAGAAATAGACAGATGAAATGAGAAGTCCTATAAATAAAATTCTCTAGTAGATCTTAAAAGCAACTGGTTACACCATATATGTGGATATTATATGTAACATTAAACAAGAAGCTAACATATGTAACAAATATTGGAAATTTCATAAAATAGTTCACTATTTAAAAAGAACGTAAATTCCTTAACTGAATGTCATCAACTAGGTTTTCATGCGAGGCTATCAAAGTCATACCACTATCAAAGTAATACCCACTGACTTTATTCACTTTCATGCATGTGAACAAACTAGTGCCCCAGTGAAAGAAATTCCTTTGTTAACAAGAATGGTAAGAGAAGAATAAAAGTCAACTGAAGTCATCAAGTAGCCTCCCATAAATAAATCAGAAGGAATGCAGAATGTAAAAATGTCTTTTCTTCCCAAATTCTATCTCCCTTACCCCAAAACATTTTGGCCAAATTTTGATCCTGCAGTAAGGTCAATGTTAAACAACACTTTTCATTTTAGCCTACGCGTGAGATACTGGATGTCATACCTTTCACCTCCAGTTTGCACTCGATCTCCACCGTCCCGAGGTCATTGACGGCTTTGCAGCAGTAAGTGCCTCCGTCATAGGGGCTGGGCTTACGAATCTCCAGAGTACAGACCCCTTGGTTGCTGAACATCCTGTATCTTGGGTCATCCACAATAGCGACTTTGTTTTTCATCCAGGTTATTTTGGGCTGAAGTTCAGGTTGGAAGTACATTAGGACAAAACATGTATGTACCCAGCATATTAATAGACCATCAAAGCCAGAGGTGGATTTTTAAAGCTTCGGAAGAAAGTGCATCTAAAAAGAATCCCATCCACTTGAGCACTGTTTCAAATTAAAGTCTGCTTAGTGCTTGGCAAGAACACAACTGAGCGGCTCTGCAGAAGCAGCCCAGACTGGTTGAGAGGGCAGCTCTGGGGCAGCCTTCCCGAACAGATTCAGTGGCACTGAATGTGACCTAAGGTTCCTGAAGTGAAGTCATACCAGACAGAGTACACTGGGGCGCTTTTCAGCGGACTCTCTGAAAGTGTCAGGCCCTCCGATTTGCTCCCCTTCGTTTTCCTTCTGATTTTGTCTAACCCCCATGGGCTGTGCTTGCCGCCTCACCAATGACTCCCTCCTTGGGTCTCTGAATCTACATGACCACATAACATGAGATCAGTTATGGCGGTCCCCCAGGATGGTGACGCCCTCTCCTCCCGCACCCCTTAACAGCATGAGGCTGACCTTTCACTCCCTCATGTCAGCAAGCCCTTCCACCCCACGTGACTTTGTCTTGCTCAGCCCGCAGAGACATACTTTTGTCTCCGCTTCACTCCCTTCCTTCTCCTTTCAAATGGGAGATTCATGAAGGCTCTCAGGCTCATGTCCTGGTCTTTGGCTTTTCACTCATCACTCTCGTGCAATGACTGCCCTATCTGGAGCCCCGGTTTCAAGGAATGTATGGTTGGGCTCCCATCCTTAGGGCCCTCAAATTGAAAGCCTCAGCCTTGGCCTTTCTTGTAAGCTCTGGAGACATTTCCTCTCTGTCCTCGTCATCCTCACTTGGCCGATCCAATTCAGCTTCCAGCTAAACATCCAGCATCTGGCTTCTCTATTTCTGACCATGGTACAGGTAGGAAACACCACTGTTTGCGATTTCCCCAAATTCCAGGTGCTTTCCCTCCATGACTCTACACCTCCATGGAGAGGTGTAGACCTCTCCACAGGCAGCATTCAGTCATCTCTTGTTCTTTTCAGATGGTGACAAGAAACCTGAACGCCTTTCTAAATCATGTCAACCCAGTGTGATTTCTCCCTTCCTTGGGCTCAGCACAGCAACACAGCCTCTCAACACAGCCTCGTGTTCTCATACTCTCATTTGATTTACTCTAACACAGAAAGCCTGATGAACCAACATTGCCCCCTAATTGCTCAGGTGAAATAATATTTCTCCAAGTTCCTTACCACTCAGTTCTTTCTAAAAATAAGTTTGGGTTTTTCTCGGAAGACGCTCCTCCATCAGTAAAGAAAGAGAGCCATCTCTTAAATGCTATTTAACAGTGTGCACAATCGCTCGCTGATGTGGTTATATTGTATTCGACTCTGGGCCCCAGAAAAAGCTATGATAGCAGCCGGCGGTCACTGGCTTGTAGTATTTGCCACTCTAACGTGGCGAGTACAAAAGAAGAGATTGGGATGAACGTTCACATTTAATAGCACAATCTCAAAAGACAAGGTACCTTAGGATTTCCTCTGACGCTGCAGTTCAGGGTGGCATTGTAGCCGGCAATTGCGTAGGTGTTAACCAAGGGCTGAGTAAACATGGGTGCCTCCGTGAAATCGAAGTCATCATACACTGGGTTTTTGTAGACTTTCCCTGAAAAACAAGCATAAGAAATATGTAAGCTGGCCTGGAAACATTATCCTTGGCTTACTTTACTCACGATTCAAACTTCCCTGAATGTCGACAAACGTGAAAACATGACTGAAGACCACCCAGTGTCCACTCTGACAGGCACATGGGTAGAGCCAATTGCCGGGGGGCAGAAAACCAGAGTGATCATCTGAAGTGAAAACAAATACTGGAAGAACTCAGTATCTGAGCATTTTGACCAGCAATGTATTCTAGTGACGGAAAAACTTTTAAGGAGAGGGCTTCATGAGGAAAAGAAGGCAGCATGGAGCCTCGCTGCTCCTTTCCTTGCTGAGTGAGGCTCGGGAGTAGCTCCATTGAAGGTGTCCAAGAAGAAAGGTTGACAGAAGTTCCAGAAGGATATGCTTATTTTTTCCTGTCCTTGTGATTTCAGTCACTTACCAGACCAGAAGCTGGAATGGATTAAAACTTGTATTTTTTTAAAGATCTATTTATTTAGGCATACAGGAGCTGAAGTGTGGGATACAGGTGCAGGGGTGGTGAGAGGATTCACCAGAGAGAGAGAAGGGAGCAGGACAGGAGAACTGACTGAAATACCCTGTTGAGGGGAGCAGTGGACCAGACAGGAGAGGTCTGTGGCTCCACGTGGATCCCCTTCCTGGCTGGGGATCAAACTTGTGCTGCAGCAACTGCTGATAGCTTTATAATGCTGAGACTTAACCCCTTGTGCCACCAAGGAGGGCCTAATACTCGTGTTTACAAAACATAATTATATTGCAATTTTCCTTATTAACATTATGTATAAAATTAAATTTTCACTTGGGTATTTTTGCCATCATTTTAAAATAGGTTCTTATTTTAAAATTATTTTTCACCTAATCTTTCAGTTTTCTTTCTTTCTTTTATTTATTTATGCATATACGAACTGGGGTGCAGGACAAAGGTATAGGGTGGGGGGGTGGTGGTGAGAAGATTTGCCAGAGACAGAGTGGGGAGCAGAACAGGAGGATCCACTGAGAAACAGAGGTCAAGACAACAGAGGTCAGCAGTGCCATGTGGGTCAGCTCCCTGGCCAGCTCCCTGGCCAGCGAGACTTTAACCCCTGCTCCACCAAGGAGACCTCTGTTTTCTTCCTTTAACCACTGAAAACCAGGCTATGCAGAAGTTCGGCCCACAACCCACTCACCGTCCTTAGCAATCACCGCGCTCTCCTTCGTCATTGTGGCATTCTCACTGAGCCCGCACATGTTCTCAGCAAAGACCCGGAAGTAATACTCATTTCCGATGACCAGTTCAGTAATGGTGGCATTTGTTCGGTGATAATGCTCAATGACAGTGAACCACTCCTGAGCAGGGAAGAAAGTCATTTGAAGAAAATCACCTAATAAGGCTCAACTCTTTCAACTGTTGTTCAGAATAAAGAACAGGGATATTTCATTAACCAAAAAAAAAAAAAATGCTATATGTATAGATAGATATAAAAGAAAAAGCCCTCATTTTCATATTCAGAGTAATGACAATATACCTTTAATTTACTTACTACATAATTAACTTACACCTGACATGCCATTTTAATCTTCATGTACACATTAAATCCATATACCCAAGCTGCCAAGTATCTTTATGTTTTCTTTATAACTGTATAATGTCTGTCATTTGTCTACCTACCTGTCCTTTTATCTAGATATAAGAATTATAATTAAAGAAATTTACTGTCACCATGTATTCTGAGGAAATGGTGAAGGTAAATAACAGGAGAAAAATCTACATTATCCCTACATAAAATTTGTCTAATATTTTAACTTCGGTAGTCTAAGGTCTTTGCTCCGATATCACCCCCCACCAACTCTTTCCCTATCATCATTCCCCCTCTGTCATTCTGGTCATACTCTTATGCTAACCTGGCTAAGTTTTTCTAACAGCAGTTGGTACCTTAAATTCTATATTTACGATTTTACCTGATAACTTTCTACCTCCCTACTTGGAATGAATATGCCACGGTGGCAAAGATGGATTTTCCCCCTTGTACCTTCAGTGCCTACCCTGGCATCTGACACCATTGTAGGTGAATGAATGAGTGAATGAACGAGACGCTAAAACTACGTATTTTTTTTTCCCATTTTCTTCCTTCTTTTATCAAGATATGTAGTGGTTTCAAATTTTATCTTGTAGCTCATCGGAACTTACACTCCATCACAAATGTTAAGTGCCACTAGTTGAGAAAATCATTTATTGACAAAAAGTTCATAAAGACACAGGATTTTCCTTGAAACTATTATGAGCCATCATTATCTGCATATCTGGTATATTTGTAAGACACCAAATTGAGCTAAGCCTTCTTTATTCCTAACGCACATGATGTACATCTTTGTTCCAA